GGCAGGACCCCGCTTAGAAGGCAGTTCTGAAACCACCCCATAACCAAGGAGACAGAGAACATGAGATTGGTGGCAGGGGGACAGGATTTGGTCCACCAGATGAGAGGGGAGAAGCTCCTAGAATGTTTGTGTGTAGATGATTCTGCCCCTCCATCTCATGTACCCCATGTTGGCCTGGGGACCTTACTATGTAGCCAAGGATGACCTTTAACTTCTGATTCTCCTGTCCCTCTCTCCCCCCCGGGCTGGGATTACATGAATAACCCCACGTAATGGGTTTTTGTGATGTTGGGGCTGGAACCAGAGCTCTCTGTCAACCAAGCATCCTTGCGGCACTCCCAGCATCATGATCACAAAAGTCATGTTCAAGGAACCCCTGCCAAGCCCCTCTGGAAGTTCAGAGAACCTCGGGGCCCCCTGAGAAGCTGCGCAGTACCCTCTGGGGGAGGCACCCTATGCGTGTCGCTGAGCTGGATAGGCAGCTATTCTCCTTCAACTCCCAGATAACTCCAGCTGTGGGGTGAGGCACCGTGCTAGAGTCTGACAGAAAAATGCAGCCTGTGGTCCCTGTTCTCCACTCTGGAGGCCCTAGGTATGAGGAGATTAGACACTTCTAGAAAGCTAAAGCCCAAGGGCAAAGGTGAGAGGGAGAAGTTCTGATTGGTTGTGTTGAGGGTACTCATAGAAACTGGGCATTTGTTCTGAGTTAGTGTGGTGGAGCACTTCCACAACTCCAGCACTTGGGAGATGGAGGCAGGAAGGTCAGGAACTTAATGCTACCTTTAGGGGACAGGTAAAGGAACCTGCTACACAAGCCTGATGACCTATCTTTGTTCTCTGGAGCCTACCTAAAAGCCACTAGGTGGAAATTGAGGACCAATGCCCTAGGTTGTTCTCTGACAAGTGCTCTATGGCATCATACATGAACATGTACATACACATAAATAATAAACATATGTTCGAGACAGGCTTTCACTGTGTATCCTTCGATGTCTTAGAACTTACTCTGTAGGCCAGGCTGGCCTCAAACTCAGAGATCCCATCTGCTTCTGCCTCCTGAGTGCTGGGATTAAAGGTGTGTGCTATCACCACCTGGCTTAAATATATATTTTGAAAAGGACAACCTGGGCTACATGAGACCCTGGTTTTTTGTTTTTTTGTTTTTTTTAAGAAGGGACAGGTAGAATGGAAGATAATGGATGGAAGAAGTATTGCTGAGTACTGGGGTGGGGGGCTCTGGGCTGGGGAGGAAGAGATGAAGAGGAAAGTGTTCAGGGCCGAGAAGTGCAGAGGAAGGCTGATGATTTTCTGTGGATATCTTTCATTTAAGGAGTGCTTAATGGTTTCGGAAGGGCTTTGGTTATCTACCTGATTTCACAGGGAAAAACTGCAAGAAATTTGATTGAGAATCTGACTGACTTTGATTCATGAATTAGGCATGATTCACAAATTAGAATGAACACTGCTGCTGGGTAGCAGTAGGATGGTTTCTGTGAGGTCAGAACAAGGAAACAAAACAGCAGGAAAAAAACCTGATTGGTTAGTGTTAAGACGGCTCAAGGAGCCCTTTTGTGTCTTACAGCAGAAAGGACTAAAAATTCCTGTTTTTAGGAAAACATGGTTTGGTTTAGGGTCTGTGTGGTCCTTTAAAATTTCAATTAATAATGTAGTACTTAGCATGGGGGGACTCCATTTTGTTTGGTCTGTTGGAGCCTGGTGCAGGAACTCAATCCAAAATAGTGACCTCTGATAATTTTGTTTAACAATCTTCTCAACAACTAGGAGTGACAGGCAGATTGTCTCTGGCTAAAAAAGCTAATTGAGGCTTGGAGAAGAATAGTCATTTCTTTCTTAAAAAAAAAAAGATTTATTTTTAATTGTGGGATTAATGGGTGTGTGCATGTGCCCACAGACCCCAGAAGAGGGCATCAGAGTTCCAGGAGCTGGAGTCACAGGTGGTTGTGAGAGGCCCAATGTGGGTGCTAATGTCCAAACGCAGGTCCTTTGCAAGAGGAGCATGTTCTCTTCTCACTAAGCCACCTCTCCAGCCCAGGGGGAGTGGCAGAAGCACAGAATTCCAAGCTTTCAGGCTCAGCTCTCTTGTTTTCTACCCTCTTCTAAGAATAGCTGAAGCGGTGGAAAGTGAGATGGGAAGATGGAGAATTTGAGCCTAGCTGAGGATGTTGGTAGAGTTTGAGCCTAGCTTGTTGATAGAATGCTTGCCCAGCATGAATAAAACCTAGGTTCTGCCGGGCAGTGGTGGTGCACGACTTTAATCCCAGCATTTGGGAGGTAGAGGCAGATGGATCTCTGTGAGTTCGAGACCAGCCTGGTCTACAAGAGCTAGTTCCAGGACAGCCTCCAAAGTAACAAGGAAACCCTGCCTCAAAAAAACAAAAACAAACACAAAAAATACCTAACCTAGGTTCCATGCCCAGTACCAGCTACCCCAGATGTAGAGGTGCATGACTGCAATCCCAACACTTGATAAGTCAAAGCAGAAGAGCAGAAATCCCAGATCAGCCTGGGATACATGAGCTGTTTCAAAAATAAAAATAATGGGAAAAGGCAGTAACAGTAAAAATGTTAGAAACTTGGTGGGGCGTGGTGATGCATGCTCTTAATCTCAGCACTTGGGAGGCAGAGGCAGGTGGATCTCTGTGAGTTCCAGATCAGCCTGATCTACAAGTTCCAGGACAGCTAAGGTATACAGAGAAACCCTGTCTTGGAAAAACAAAAACAAACAAACAAAAAAAACTAAAATGGAACTCAATAAAGGTTAGCAAAAAAACCAAACCAAAACAAAAAAGCACAACATCCCCAATCAGAGGCAGATTCTTACAATTTAAAATCAAACACCAAGCAAGCATGGTAATATAGACCTGTAATCCCAGAACTTGTAGAGGCAGGAAAAATGAGGCATCTAAGGCTTACCCAGGCTACGAGAAACTCTCTTTCGGGGGGAAAAAAAAGTTAAAAAAAAAAAAAAAGAATCCCTAAACTCAAAGTGGGGGAAAAAAACAAAAAAACCTCACAGAACATTTAAAGATGTCAGTTAGTTTCACTGGTAAATCCAAGCAGTGGGGGTGGGGTGGTGGAGTGTCTCCTATGCGGAAAATTGTTAGCCAGTGTGTAGATTTTGCTCACAGTGGTGTCTCTATTGGGGAAACAATGGAAATAACCTAAATATCCTACAACCAGGTATTCATTGGGTAAAATTTTATTTGTCCTTATGACAGAAAACAGGTACCCATCACTGAAGGACTGCTGATGGACATTCCAGGACATGGGTTGACTTTCATTATGCATACCCACACAGGTATTTTAATGTATTTTGTAGTCTCCTGTTGCTTTCAATAGGGTCTCTGTGGGCTGAAAGTGTTACAAAGTTCCTCTCCCTAATCTCATTTTGAGTTTTCCAATGGCTGTGTCAGGTTGTCTCAATATATCAAGTATCCGTCTGCTGCTCAGAAAGCAGGTGTCAGGACTCTGAGTCAGAGTTCAGAAGGTCTCAGTCTCTGCAACAATTCTCCCTCTTATTTGCCACTTCAAATATCCCAAATCTCACCTCCTTGTTCTTTCTAAAGTCTCAGTGTCTTCCTCCAAGGTCCTCCTGACATTTTGAATCTTGTAGCTCCTGAATCTTCTTCATGAACCAGAAAAATGATTGACAGGTACAATCATTCACCTATGTATGTATTACGGCTTGCAACACTCCACTTGGGTGCTGTCCTAGAGGGACAGCTAGGGCAAAGAAAGTGACATAGGAGGATAACATTGTAGAGGATTGATTTGTGAGTCAGAAGCCGAGAGGAAGTAAAGAAGCCCGAGGAGCCAGTTTTGGATGAAACTTGTATACACCAGCCCAGCCGCTAGGAGAACACGCGGGCGAGGTTTATGTGTGAGCACCCGTTAACGCACACTGCCTGTGCCAACCCCTTGGGTCCCCATTTCTTTTATTAGATTCAATGCCTTGCCACAATTTCTCTATGCTGCCCAGAACTTCTCCAGAGCCAGGCTTTGACTTCAATACTGTCAGGGAGGAACTCTCTCTCAAAGGCTATGGTGAGGTTGTAGAGCTGAGGCTGAGTCCTAGAAGGAACCACTACCACTTCTGAATTCCCTCCTCTCCCTTGGTCTCAAGCAGTCCCAAGGATACAAGGGAAGAGGTCACCTTGGTCACTGCTAGAACCTCGCGGGGTACAGAAAACACACCAGCGTCGTGTGCCGAGGTAGGGCACACCCATCATCTCTCCCCATCAGGGCACGGGGCTCTCCCATCACTGCAGACTAGCAAGGGGCTATTGCCATTTTGTGGTTAAGGAAATTAAGATTCCCTGTGTCCTTCGGCAGCTGTGCCTGCAGCGTTCCGGCTGAGAGTTCCTACTTACAACTATCTCCACATAGCACCTGCAGCAGGCTAGGCCTTCTGCTTCAATTTCCCAGAGCAGCCGAGCGACGGACCATTAAGAGAGGTGCCACTTAAGGCAATATAGGGACAGAATCCTTCCCTTCTTGACAACCCATTACCAGACCGATTTTCAGGGTGATTCAGTCCCTAGGTCCCTTCTGGAGAGAGAAGTAGGTGTCCTGGAAACATAGGAGTTAGAGGTCCCGGTGGAGGAGAGGGGGAAGACGGTCACAGGAGACAGCAAGCTGGGAGCACGCAGAATGAGGGGAAGAGCCTCGCTTTCCAAGACAGGCGAGGGGGGGCGGGGGTGGAGTGGAGCGCGGGGCGGGCCCGCGGGAGCCCCGGGGTGGCGGCGCGGGCCCGAGGGGGTGGGGAGCACAGCCGCCTTGTACTTCCCCTTCGCTGCTTAGCTCTACAACAGCCTGATTTCCCCGAAATGATGAGGCGGCGCAGGCCAATGGGCGCGCGCAGGCGTCCGGAGGGGGCGTGGCCGAGTGAGGGCCGGGGAATCCCGCTAAGTGTTTGGTTTTCTCCGCGGAGCCGCGGAACCGCCAGTGCGCGCTACTCCTTCGTCGAGGTAGGACGTGCTCGCAGACTGAGTCGAGCCGAACCGGCCGAGCCGAACTAAGGTCAGCCGTAGCCAGCGGCCCCCAGCATCTCGGGCATCCTTCGATCTGTGCGCGCATCGCGTACCTACACCGCAGCCCTCGCTGTCGGGTACCCTGTGTGGATCGCTCCTGCTGCAAAGGTGAGCACGTCGGGGCTGCGCGGATACCGACGGGCGGCGTGGAACAAAAGGCGCGCGGGACACCAGGAAGTGGGAGCCAGGGACACTCTGGGCCGGGGTGGCGCGCGGGCTCGGGAGGGCGCTGCGAGCGATCGGGCGGGAGGCGGGCCGCGGCGTGCGCCGCCCCCTGGCTGTGCTCGGCGGTCTGCGTGCGCGGGGCCGCTGCGGGGCCTTTCGGTGGCCCGGAGCGCCAGTTGCGCGCATCGGCGAGCAGTGCCGTGGGTGTCGGGTGTCCGCTCGCGCGCACTTTTGGCTGTCGTAGGTTGGTGCCTGGGCCCCAGATTTCGGGCCGGCGGTGCTTGGTGGCAGAGGTTGGCTTGCTGCCCTGAGTGGCTGGACCCGGTCGTGAACCTACAGGGGTTTTGGGAGGAGGTGCCACAGGTGTTGCTTGCACCACTTCTCTTTGCTGCAGGGGAAACCAGGCCGGAAGGGGTTGCGCCCCAGCCTATGCGTTGTGGGCACCGGCTGTCAGAGGGGGCATAGACTGGATTGGGGAGTGTTGGGGGAAGTGCCCGGGATGGAGAGTGACTTGCTTACCCAGCATGGAAGGTGCAGAGCTGGTGGTGAAAACAAGCAAAAGTAGTCCCTTCCTTCCCCTCAAAGATTGCATTTTGAGAGAAAAGTTCTGGCATTGAAATGTCTGTGTATTTTGGCTCTTTTTGCACATAAATCCTGGAACCATCCAGACTTGCTTGCTTGTCTCCTCCTCAGACTAACTGGGCGAGGGTGAGAAAAGGGGCGAAAAGGTGGTTTTGTCCATGATACTGGAGAGATTTGGAGAGCAGTTTCAGTCTATTGCAGGGTTCCCTTCTCTATGCCTGTAGGACCTGGTACCTGGCTGACGGCAGGGGCAGGGTAATGACCTGGGTGTGAGGACAGGGGAAGGTAATTGAGTGGCCTTGGGTGGAGCAGGGCAGTGCCCAGGATTGTTTAACAGACTTCAAACACAGACCTTCTGTCTTCTCCCTCCAGCCGCCATGCCTATCACTCGGATGCGAATGAGACCCTGGCTAGAGATGCAGATTAATTCCAATCAAATTCCAGGGCTGATCTGGATTAATAAAGTGAGTGTTACTCTGCATATTTCTGCCACCGTTTTCACCCATGTCCTCTTGGGGATCAACGTTTCATTAGTGGGAATGGAGAGAGCAGGAAGATGTATTTCCCAGTGGGTGCTGCATGCCAGGACATTTGAGGTTTGACTTTATGCCTCCTGCTTCTTCCTTCCTGAAGCAGGGGCCAGCCTACCCTCCTAGAACCTCAGTTCTCAGCACCAAGACTTCCAGCGTCCGCAGAGCAAGTGAGAGGAACTAGCTGTACAGGGAGCATCTTACATGACTCCAGTTGGATAGACAGGCGATGCTGGGCAGGAACATGACTGGCTCTGTAGGGGGATCCAGTTACTGTGGCCCAAGAAGCTATAACTGGTACACATGGCAGCATAGACTACATAGGTTTAGCAACAATACTAGCATTGGTAACAAAAATTACTGTGGTTGGGCACATTACCAATATTGTGCATTTTAAGCTTCATAGTCATCCTGTGAGATGGGTCTCAGACAAGGAAACTGAGGTAGATTACAGGATCACACAAAAAGTGTGAAAGCCAAGACTGAACTCGAAGAAACTTGACTGAAAGTCTATAATAGCTGGTGATGGCTCAGCAGGTAAAGGCACCTGCTGCCAAGCCTGACAGCCTGACTTTGATCCCCATGTCCCTCGTGATAGGAGAGACAAATGCTGCAGATTGTCCTCTGACCTCCACAAAAATGCCCTGGCTTGCAAATACCCCTGACACTTGCACACAGAATTAAAAATAAAACAAAAGCAAAAAAAAAAAAAAAAAAAGACCCAAAACCTTTATCATTGTAGCTGTTGTCCCCATACATACTCATTTTTAATAAAAACAGACTCCCACTCCAACACACATAAGAAAACTTATGTCTCTCTTTGAGGTACATCTTATTTAAGAGGACATAGGCCAGGACTATACAGGCAGTCAGCATCCATGTCTGGCCTCGGGCTCCCTCAGGGGCATGACCAGGACCCTGTATGGGAGTCAGTGGCTCCAGGTGTCCTGAGTAGACACTAATGCAGGAAGCTCTTCTGCTCTGAGCATCAGAGACCTGCCAAGCCAAGACAGAGGGTGCCCCTTTGGGCTCTCAGCAGCACACCTGCAGTAGGTGTGTAGGGGGGGGGTCATTGCTGAGCTTCTGGTGCTGTGGCTCATTAGAACCCAGACCCCCTCCACACACAGGTGCAGAATGGCCTGTATTTTAAGGCAGTCAGGATAGGTCAATCCAGGCCAGATGTCGGGGTGAAAAGGGGAAGTCAGTCTTTTCCCATACTTGGGGGCTGGGCATACTCAGCCACAAAACCTGTGGTCTCCGAGCTGACGCAGTCCTGTGTGTGCACTATTCAGGAAGAGATGATCTTCCAGATCCCATGGAAGCATGCTGCCAAGCACGGCTGGGACATCAACAAGGATGCCTGCCTGTTCCGGAGCTGGGCCATTCACACAGGTGTGCAGGGTGATGGGCAGAGGAGAGAGGGGAGGCTATTACCATGGAGGTGTTGGGTGGCCGGAGCTCCTCGACACAGCATGCAGAATTATTAGAGCAGGGGTTGAGGCGCACCTGTGTTTCTCTAGGACAGAATCCATTGTTTTAGCAAGTTCTCAGAGGATTTATAAAAGTGAAAATCTTAGAAAGCATGCCTTCAGGGAGTCTGTAGCTAGAATACAGTTGTTCCTGGAAAAGACAGTTGTGAGTCAGGCTACCAAAGGAGACTTTCATCTTCCTTTCTCAAGGTACGGATTAGGGGACTTGGCCCAAGCCTCTTCTGGTTGGTGGCCTCCTTTCGGCTTTTAGGAATCAGATTCTTGGTCCAATTCAGACCTGTTAGTAACTGTCCTTGTTGCCCACTCTGCACATACGTGTACTTTGGAAATGTCAGATAAGCCTCGGTATTAGTTGTCTCTGGCTGCTGATAGTGTAAGCAGGGAGACTGTCATGGCCCAAGACAGTGAGCACATTTTTTGAGCCCTTCACATGCCTGCTGGATGTCTAAGCCAGCCTCGGGCATACGAGAATCCCCAGAACCTGTTGCCAGTGGTTTTTGCTAGTTTCACCAGTATGGGTGTCTGGGGTACATCCCAGTCCAGGGAGCAACCGATGGATGCATTCACTCTCCCTTTCTGTAGGCCGATACAAAATAGGGGAAAAGGAGCCAGATCCCAAGACGTGGAAGGCAAATTTCCGTTGTGCCATGAACTCCCTGCCAGACATTGAGGAAGTGAAGGACCAGAGCAGGAACAAGGGCAGCTCAGCCGTAAGAGTGTACCGGATGCTGCCACCCCTCACCAAGAACCAGAGGAAAGGTAAACAAAGGGCACTGGGTCCTCGGGAGGAAGGGAAGAAGGGCGGAAGGAAGATTGGCTGGGGCTCATGGCCTGTTTGTCACACAGAGAGAAAATCCAAGTCCAGCCGAGACACTAAGAGCAAGGCCAAGAGGAGGGTGAGTGTGGCCCTGTGCGGCCCAGCCTTTGGTCACCTTAGGTCGGGTGGGCAGGAAGAGTGCTGCAACAGGCCTAATCTGTCTTCTCTCTACAGCTGTGTGGAGATGCTAGCCCTGACACCTTCTCCGATGGACTCAGCAGCTCCACTCTGCCTGATGACCACAGCAGCTACACCACTCAGGGCTACCTGGGTCAGGACTTGGACCTGGAGCAGGACCTCACCCCAGGTGAGGTTGCCAATCTGGCAAGAGAGCTCATAGGTTGGGTCCAAGAGGCGCCGTGGTAGCAAAGAGTAGCCTGTTAGAGAAGGTTGCAGGGTGGAGGTGCTGATGGATTGCAGATTAAGAAATCGTGCTAGCAGCCGGGTGTTGGTGGCGCACGCCTTTAATCCCAGCACTTGGGAGGCAGAGGCAGGTGGATCTCTGTGAGTTCGAGGCCAGCCTGGTCTACAAGAGCTAGTTCCAGGACAGCCTCCAAAGCCACAGAGAAACCCTGTCTCGAAAAACCAAAAAAAAAAAAAAAAAAAAGAAATCATGCTAGCCGGGTGTGGTGGTACGTCTTTAATCCCAGCACTCGGGAGGCAGAGACAGGCAGATCTCTGTGAGTTCGAGGCCAGACTGTCTACAGAGTTCCAGGGCAGCCTAAAACAATACAGAGAAACCCTGTCTCGAACCCGCCCCCCCCAAAAGCATGCCATTCTGACCTGTGCTTTCTTCTGTACCCTCCTGCAGCACTGTCACCGTGTGTCGTCAGCAGCAGTCTCCCCGACTGGCACATGCAGATGGACATTGTGCCAGACAGTACCAGCGATCTGTACAACTTGCAGGTGTCGCCCATGCCCTCCACCTCTGAAGGTTTGTACTCTTGGGGCCTGCCTCCTCGTGTGTGTGTGTGTGTGTGTGTGTGTGTGTGTGTGTGTGTGTGTGTGTGTGTGTGTGTGTGTGTGTGTGTGTGTGTGTGTGTGTGTGTGTTTGGGTCTAGAGGAGAAATTAGATGCAGCTGGAACTGGGAGCTGCTTAACCCAGCCCCCATAGCGTGAAACAAGCCCATGGGACACAAGAAGACAGACAGTTCAGAGCCTTTGTGTGCTCCAGGCCAGGAGGGAGGCAATCTGGCCTCAGCCACATCTTGGTCAAAGGTGGCTAGTGCTCCTGGCTTCTCTGCCCTCAGTTGTCTGAGGGGGAGGAAGGAAGTAAAGGGGTGGGATACGGCCTTGCTCCATGGTTGGGGAGGGTGAGTCATCAGGCCAGTGTTCTGTTCTGGAACCTCCAGGGAAGGAAGATGCTGGTTGGAAGGCTCAGGGTAGGGGGTTGGGGGGTTGGAGCTGGTGGGCTGGAATTGTAGGGCAAACATGCATGGCTAACCTCTGCCCTTCCTCACAGCTGCTACAGATGAGGATGAGGAAGGGAAGTTACCCGAGGACATTGTGAAGGTAACTCTCTTTCCATACTGCATCTGTGAAGGGAGACAAGCTAGGGAAAGCTTCCAAATGAGTGTGGGCAGGTGCTGTTGTCACTTGGCTTCATAGCTCACAAGCACCCCCCACCCCTTTGTGTGTTGGGGATTGCTGCCCCGGCAGGTGAGATGCCTAGTCTCTAGCAGGCCATCCTGAAGCAAGCCTCAGGGTCCCAGATAGCTCTGAGTCAGCCCCCATCAGCACTGTGTCCTCCGCCCCGGCATGCCCAGCCCATCATCGAGTTTGGGAAATGCACATCAGGTTTCAATAATCAGCTTTTGGGATCTGTACTAAGATGACTTTAAAAAAAATTAAAGAAAACTTTTTTTTCCTTAGCAAGTTCTTTTGCACTTTTGTTTTTTTCAGCTGCAATTTTCAAAGTGGCTATACAAGTTTTTGAGGTAGTTTTATCCTCACTCAGGTCTGTGAGCACAGAACATTGAGATGTGGGTCTAGTTCCTTGTCTTCAGCCTTCCTGGCTTGTTATGCTAACCTTTGCTTTAAGCTGCCTTACCAGTTGCTATGTCCTCTCCCAGTTGAGGGAAGCCATGCAGATTCTGTGCCAGAGGGTGGGGATAGGAAGAGAAGGACAGTGACACAGCAGAGGCCAGCAGGGCCCAGGTAGCTTGATGTCCCCCACACTCTTGGGCCTTGTCTTGACAGTTCTGCATGTTGTCACCCATTGGAGAAGATACAAATGTCCAAGGGTGTGTGTGATTCTGCTTGGGAAGGGTTAGCTCATGGAGGGCAGGGCCACAGGGTGAGTTTGCACTGGCTGATGGCTTCATGTTCTCTCCCCAGCTCTTTGAGCAGTCTGAGTGGCAGCCGACAAACGTGGATGGCAAGGGATACTTGCTCAATGAACCAGGAACCCAGCCCTCTTCTGTCTATGGAGACTTTAGCTGCAAGGAGGAACCAGAGATTGACAGCCCTGGAGGTAAGAGGTCTCCAGGGCTTTATAGATTCTGGGAGAAGGGAGAAGTTTATGGGAACTGGGAAATGCTTGGACGCAGAGCCCGATAAAGATAAAAGATCCCTTTTAAACCGGGTCAGCAGGTACAGCAGCAAGCCTGTTCCCGTGCTGAGGACGAGCTGAGCTTGCTGCTTGCCGAGGACGACTGTGTGAGATTCTCGTACCCTTTGTAATACAACTTTTTTTTTTGGTCATCTTCTAGGGGACATAGGGATGGGCATACAACATGTCTTCATGGATCTGAAGAATATGGACTCCGCCTGGATGATGGACAGCCTGCTGCCACCCTCTGTGAGGCTATCCTCCATTCAAGCCATTCCTTGTGCACCATAGTTTGGGTCCCTGACCCATTCTTGCTCTTCTGGGTGAGCAAGGTCTGGCGTCATTGTGGCTGTGATACAGAAAAGCTAGACTGCTGTGGGTCCCTTGACATGGCAAAGCATAGCCCCACTGCCAAACAGGAAGAGACCACCCTCCTTGGGTCCGTGGACTCTCAGGGCTTGGAAGCCAAGGTCTGAGTTTTTCTTGTGAGGTGAAGCTGGCCCTGACTCCTGGGAAGATGGAGTTGGGGTTCTGAGGTTGCTGTGAGGTGGGGGACATGGATAGGAGTCATCCTCTAACTCTTTAAAACCTTGTTGCCTGGAGAGGGTCTTGTCACTGGGCTAGCTCTGCACTGGGAGACAATTGCACTAAGTGAGTCATATTCCCAAAGAATTGCTGCCCTTCCCAGCCGAGCCCTGGGATGGTTCCAAAGCCAGTGAAATGTGAAGGAAAAAATGGAGTCCTGTGAGGCCAGGCTAGGCTCCCTTAGCCTCAGAGGAGCTCTGCCTCGCTACCTGCTCTCCAGCTGTGGGGCTCAGGAAAAAAAACATGGCACTTTCTCTGTGGACCTTGCCACATATCTGATCAGAGGTGTACACTAACATTTCTCCCCAAGTCTTGGCCTTCGCATTTATTTATACAGTGCCTTGCCTGGTGCCCACTGTCTCCTCAGGCCTTGGCAGTCCTCAGCAGGCCCAGGGAGGGGATTGTGAGCGCCTTGGCGTGACTTTGACTATTGGAAACGCCACCTAACTACTAAATTGTGTTTGATCACATATGGATCTGTGTAAATATGTATATTTGTCTTTTTATAAAAAGTTAATTGTTTACAAGGCGTGTGGCTTTTTGCTTAGAAATTGTAATCTGTTTTACTTTTTATGGAAACACTCTGGTGGGAATCTTGGTTGGCATTCTGTTTGAGCTTTGGCTGAGCATTGACATGCATCTGTCATGAATCTTTCCAGTTATGGTCAAGAAGATGGCAGGAGGATGGGAGTGGCATGTCACAGGGACATGCTCATTTGTATTCATTTGTTTTCTCTATTTTTGGTTTTTTGAGACAGGGTCTCAGTAAGGAACCCTGGCTGTCCTGGAATTCGCTATGCTCACACCAGGCTAGCCTCAAACTCAGAGATCTGCTTGCCTCTGCCTGCTGAATTTGATTGTTATTTATTTATCTTGGTTTTTCAAGACAGGGTTTCTCTGTGGCTTTGGAGCTTATCCTGGAACTCTCTGTAGACCTGGCTGGCCTCAAACTCACAGAGATCCGCCCGCCTCTGTCTCCCGAGTGCTGGGATTAAAGGTATGCGCCACCAACCCCCGGCTGAATTTGATTGTTTTAATCACATTTTATTTGTATAGTGTATATGCATGGAGGTCAGAGGCCAACTCTTAAGACTTGGTCCTTTAACTTTGTGGGACCTGGGATCAAATCAGGTCAATAGGCTTGGGAACTGATTTTGAACTCTTGGGGCCTGGTTATCTGTTAGGCTCTGGGTTCTTCTGAATTTGTCACAGACTATCTGTTCTGCTGAACAAACAGGTGCCATTCCAAACAATGAACAGTTGGTATGACACTGACAATTGGAATAGACAACAGTGCAGGCAACGTCCCCAAGGCCTGCTGCTGTGCTAGGTCTCACTTCCTGGAAATGATCTCTACCCTGTACTGATGCTAGTCAAGCCTGGGAACTAAGTACCTGAAATGTGACCCGTGATACATGCAGGAGCTTGACTTTTAATTTCAGTGACTAAGGTTTGGACTTATTTGTACTAAATAACAGGTACAGCTTGGCAGATCTGAATGAGCAAAGTGGAGGGAAGATGAGGACAGCTGTAAAATGGGCAAAGCTGTCTGATTACCCTGAAGCCTGAACATGCTGTATGAGTGGCAGGAGGGCTCCCACGAGGTGGCTATCCTTGTCTGGGGGTGGGGGTGGGGTACTGGATTACAGGCCCTGCCCATCTGGAGATCCACTTGGGTTTTTCAAGGATAGCTTTACTGGGGACTAAGATGGGCGCGGATAGCCTTCTTAGTAAGGGCCCAGTCCTTACCAAGGAGGAGATTTGAGGTAGTTAGCCTCCTGTGGCATCTACAGAGTTTTCTAGTAGGTGGCTTTTTAAGTAATGGTAGGTAGGAGTGGTGTGAAACCAGCTAGGGTGGATTGTAGATGAATGGATGCCCTGGCCAGCAGTGAACAACGAAGGTGGAGCCCATGGGAACCTGGAATGACGGGACAAGAGGCACAAACAACAGACAGCTAGACAGACCTTCTGATCAAGCTTCGAGATTTTATTTTTCTCAGCCCCGTTATATAGTGGTTTAGGGCGGAGTAATCAGAGAGAGGTTGTTGCCTAGTAACCAGGCCACTGAAGGTGAGCAGATAGCAGGTGTTGGCAAGGTGAAAGGGTCACAGAGAGAGGGGTTAAGTGATCTAATTGTGGAATGTTTCCTTTTTTGCCATGGGCTATTCCTGTGAGTTCTATTCATTAGGAAGCTGGGGAGGGGATGGACTAATCTTTAAAAAGGCTGGCGATATTTACAAGAGGTTCTAAATAACAGCTCCTGACCCACTTTTCACTTTTTTGTTCTCTTCTCCAAATTGATCCCTGGTGGAGAGTAGGCAGTAGTGATAGAAGGTCCAAGCAACAGAGGGACACTATGGTGTATCAGCCACTATCATCTCTCAGGATACAGTTTACAAAGTGCTGGGACAATCCTGGCTCAGGATGAGGCATGGATCCCTCTCAAAGCCAGCTGAGGAGAGTTGAGATCCTGGAGAAAGCTTGGCAGGCACTGGGATCCTTTTCTCTGGAAGCAAAGCACTCCTCTTGGTGAGGCAGAGTCCTGCCCAGGGTATCAGATCCAAAACCTTAGTCCTGCACAGGGGAGGGCTCTGTGTGTGTGTGTGTGTGTGTGTGTGTGTGTGTGTGTGTGTGTGTGTGTGTGTGTGTATGTGTACATCCTCCAGATAGTCCTGTTAGAACACCTAGCTGGAATCTTTTGCTCTCATCAGATGCTGTTTCTTAAGTTCAACACAACTCGCCCTCCCTGTGGAGGATGTGTGAAGTGATCAGACCCCTGCCAGCTGTCCAAGGGGCAGGAAGGAGGCCTGGGCAGGAATGAGCTGGTACATGCCTTTTCCAAGAGCTCCCTTGTGGGTCCAAATTGAGGCCTTACAATTTCCTCAGCTCCAAGCAGCTTCCAAGAGACTCACTGCTGCTGTCCTTAAGGAGATTGCAGAAGCCCCTGCTTCCGGTGGCTAGGTGATGGGGGTCTGTGGTGCCTATGCTCAGTTTCCTTTCAACAGGGGAGTTGCTGGCACCACTGGGGCAAATTCGTGAAGACAAAGTGAAAATTAGGCAGGCATCCACCTGCCAACCATCTGCCAGGAAGAAGATTTCAGCATCTAGGAGTCAGAGGGACTACAACATCTATCTGGATATGACAACACAGACACTTGCACCCACCTCCCTGCAACACCATCCCCTTGTTCACAGACCAGGAATCAGTGTTCAGCAGGCCAAGGGGCTTGCCAAGGTGACTTAGCTATGGAGGCTGGCTTCCAACCCACACATGTCCATGTCCAGAACCGGGACTGGTCCCTCACTGTCAAGGTTCCTGAAAGAAGGAAACGGAGAACAGCTGGAAGTAGTAGGGGTCTAGGACCCTATGTTGAGAAAGCATTTAGGACTGTTGAGCTGTCACTGCCCCTCCCTGATGCCCTAGAGTCTAGGGCCTAGAGAATGCGACTGCTTTCCTGGGGCCCTGGTAGGGTGGCGTTTGGCTTGACCTTCAAGAGAAGCAATGCTCTACCTATCCTGGGAGGCCACCTGATGTTTCAAGGGCTAGGGCCCCAGGGGCTGAGAAAGTCAAGGTTTGCAACTTGATTGACCTCAGAGTGGCTGGCAGCTTGGCCACATACCGAGGACTCTGGTCAGCCAGGGCTTAGCTCCCCAGGGTTCAAAGTGCACTTGTTGGCCATGTTTCCATCTGAGCAGGGTGACCGGTTCTGCACTAAATTAAACCCACTATTGGGTTCGGTGCAGCTTCCTTCCCAGCTCTGGACCTGTAGCTCTGGTGAGGTTTTTTTTCCTCCCTGGCTGGGCCTTGTCTCTTTTTGCTCTCCTTTTTTTAAAAGTCCCTTGAATATGGATGGGGCTGACTGACTCTGCACAAACTCTTCCACAGCAGTTACAAACGCTGGGCTATCCTCTGCTCATGGAGAAGGGATGTACCAAGACTTCCCTCAGGAGAAGGCCCAGGGTGGCTGTAAGTACGTGAAAGGCCTCTCTGAGAAAGCTGACTTCGTGGGCTGAGGCAGTTATGTAGATGTGGAGGTGGTTTCCATAAAGAAGATAACCATTAGGTCAGAACCATGATTACTTGTTCAAAACTAGGACCAAGTTCAGGTGTGGTAGCCCACACCTTTATCCCAGCACCTGGGAGGCAAAGGCAAGCAGATCTTTGTGAGTTCGAAGCCTGCCAACATGCCAGCCTGCCATAGCTACATAGAGAGACTCTGTCTTAAACAAAATAAAACAACAAAACCCCACTATGAACAAGGCAAGGAATCCTGTCATGTTGATCATGTCAGAATACAATTAGACTGGGGTTGGAGCTGCAGATGCCTGTGGGAGGTGGAGGGTTACTGTCATAGCTGGGGACCCAGGGTTCCCCTCCAAGTGCTTGTGGTAGCTTGCTGGCATGCCAAGCAGAGCCACATGTCTGCGTGACAGAGCAAAGACTGGAGTCTGGCATTCCTGTGCAATGTGAGGAGGGCAGGAAGGAGAGGTAGGAGTGTCCAGTTCCATGGCCATTCATCAGCACTCCTCTGTTGCGGAGCAGGGAACAGCCGGACACAGATGCTGAGCCCAGTAGACCCTGTGCTCCCTCCCAGCTTGCAGAGTCAGCCTTAGACCACTTGGGAGGACCTCATTTTCAGTCTTTGTCCATTCTATAGTCAAAATGTCACCTTCTAGGCGCTAGTCCCTTCCTGTGTGCCTAAGTGGTTCATGGGTAGCTAGATTGTCTTGTGGACTGGAAGCTCCCAGGGACAAGGTCTCTCCATTCTCACAGTGCTCAGTCCCAACTTAAACTTAAGTGCATATGTTCTGGTGGCCTGGAACATTTGCCTATGGCACCTGTTCTGCTAAGCTCACCTGGATTGTGAGGTTCAGGAGACTAGGCTATGGGATGGATGTACCTGTGGGTGACTAGGCCTGCCTCTGCAATAACCAGCGGCCAAGGCTAAAGGCCCCAGGGACAAGGGCTATTGCGTGTATGACTCAGTCAGCCCGTGGTCCCAGCAGGACTGAAGTTGGAAAGCTGAGTCATTCATGATGCTTATTTTATTGAAAACATACACAAGCACCTGGTAGGATGGCCCAGTGGGTAAAGGCGCTTTGCTGCCAAGCCTAATGACCTAAATCTGGTCTCCAGAACTCATGTTGTGGAAAGAGAACTGACTTCCACAGGTTGTCCTCTGGCCTCTACACATGTGCTGTAGCATGTGCAGTAAACAAATTAGCATTCACACACACACACACACACCTATTTTCTAATGAAAGAAGGGTGTGGGTTTGGGTGGGTGGGGAGGTGGAAGGATCGGAGGAGTTGAGGGAGAGAAATCAGTGAACAGAGTACATTGTATGAGACAAAATCGATTTTCAATACTTGAAGAACATGATTTAATTGTACAAAGAGGAAGAGGTATGAGGAAATAAAAACATTTATTAAAGACATGTGCAGAACAACGCCCAGAAGTGACCAGGGCGTGACATTTTTAGAAGCTCGGATGCAAACACACTGTGTCATTCATGCACCC